AGCGTTCCCACATTTGAAGAATATATGTAATTCAAAGCAACTACCAATGAATTTCAAAATCCGAATCTTTAATACAAATATCAAAACAGTTCTACTGTACGGAGCTGAGAGTTGGAGAACTATCACAACCATCACCAAAATAGTATAGGTATTTCTAAACAATTATCTGTAGAAGATACTGAATGTCCGTTGGTCGGATATTATCAGTAACAGACTACTGTGTGAGAGAACAAACCAGTTTCTAGTTGGATAGGAAATTAGGAAAAGATGTTGATGGTGGATAGGACATAGATTGCGTTGATCATCAAACTGTATCTTCTGGTTAGTGCTAATTTTGTGTCGTGACGGGAAGGGGGAAAGCGGGAGACCAAAGAATACACTGTGTCAAGACTGGGAAACATGACATGAAAAGAGTGAAAATCAACTGAAAACAACTGGAAAATCTTCCTGAGGTCAGAGTTGGTTAGAGAATGCTTGTGGTCGGCCTGTGCTTCTCTAAGAGCGTCAACAGGTATAAGTAAGTATGTATGTATAGATATGAAATAAGGATATTTGTTAAGCCTACAAAATAAAAACAACGTTTAATTGAAAATTCATAGTAATCTTCAATGGAACTGCTACATTTAAAAGACTTTAGTGTGGGCTGATTCAATAGTTTTCTCTAAATGTTTTAATGAGTAGTTTACTAAATGTTTCCAAGTACAATCCTCCTAATTTATTAGTTTTTAGTGTATAAATGAATAAACAAAGACATCCATATATTAATAGACATATTAGTGAATAGCTTCAGACGTAAACATTTAATCGTAAGTCTAAAGACCAAGTATATACACTTGGAACATAATAAACACTCAATCAGCACTCAATTTACAATTGTATTATGAATTAGTGTGATAAAATGTTACAAGCCCTTGTGTGAACTTATTTGACCCATACGAGTGTTGTTACTCTTTTAGTTACACTGTATACATTCATAAATAATTAAGCGTGCTGGTCTATGTCCTGTTGTCTACATTATTTTTTGTCGATGTGATCTATATAAGTTATGATTCAAACTTATTTAAGTGATCAGAAGGAGTTTTGTGGAGATTTCAGTATTTTTCCAAGTTGAAATCATTAGTCGATTGAAGCTAGACCACCATGGAAAACCTGGAAGCACTCGACGTTAGCTAGTAATGTCTCTCCATACTGTATCCATTCATTATTGTCTGTCTACTGATTCGTAAGACGAAAAATCTCTTCACTACATATTGTTATTCATTTGTAGTTGTTATAACTACAGAAAGGTGGTACTTGGAACAAGGGGAAAGTGAGGTTAGCACAATGCAAAAAAAGTAGACTCAAAAGATAATAGGAACAGTTTTTATTCACTTTACAAAACATGACGACCATGCAAAACGAATACACTCAATTATACATATATTTTATCGATATTTGATGACTAGTCAATGAATCTTATACATGACAGAAATAGGAAAACTACGAAATCGAAAAATTAAAGCAAAACGCATTTTGTAAGTTATACGCTGAACGTAGTTTCTTTATTTACTTACTTACACCCCTTTTACCTCTTATGGAGTAGCATAGGATGCCCACAAGTATTCTCCATCCAACTCTGTCCTGAACAATTCATTCCAGTTGTTTCCAGTTACTATTCATTCTTTTCATGCCCGTTTCCAATTCTCAACATGGTGTGTTCTTTGGTCTTCCTGTTTTTCGTTCCCCTTGACGATTCCAAGTTAGCACTTGGTTCATGATGCAACGTGTGTCCTGTCCACTTCCAATATCTTTACTTAATTTCCTCTTTAACTAGAAACTGGTTTCTTCCCTCCCACAGTAGGTTGTTACTGATGGTATTCGGTCAGTGGACGTAATTTACATCAAACTAATGCAAATAATTTTATACTAAACAAATATCGAACTGAATTACCAAATGATCTCGTCTTTTATTGAATCTTAACAGTAATAAATTTTAAATTTAGACTATTTTTAAGCAAAGATGGATAGTGGCTATCAGTGGAATCCAGGACGCGCGTTTCGTCCTGGATTCCACTGCTAGCCACTATCTATCTGTGCTTATATTGCTTGTGAATTAAGGCTATATCGAGGCAATACGCACATTATGCACATATTCCAATTACAGACTGACCAGTTGCAGTCCTAACACATGAATGGTAAGGTTCAAACAAACAATACTAAATGAATTTAGATTACTTTTATCTTAATTTTTTTATTTTTCTCATAACCCTACAATAACTTACTCCAGACTACTTAATCTTAATTAACCAGTAAGTTGAAATCCCTTCTGTTATATATAAAGTTTTACTTCATTTAAAATTTTTCTCAGTATTGTAACACCTCACAATGATCATATTCATTTGCCTATCTATCATCATATAGAAACTGGTAAACATCAATATTTTTCAATGTAAGTGAACAATGATTTACATATGAATTTGACTAAAACTATGAAAAACTTACCTTTCAAATGACTATGGAATTATCAGAAGGGGTTTTGTGGAGATTTTAGTAATTTTATTGTTAAAATCATGATAATAATCATATGCTCATTAGTGACTGGCTCCAAGAGGTAATTCCTGAAGTTCTAATGAGAAGCAGTGACCAGTAGAGTTCAACTGGGTCTTTCGTGAGATAGTAACTCACTGAAGACAATGGTGAATGTGTCTCTCAATTTCGTGGATTGGTTGAAGTAAGACAATAACACCGTTGTATGACCGCTCAGTTGTCTCGAGGTTAAGCACTCGCGCGCGGGACCGATAGTTCCTGAGTCCAAATCTCGCTAGTGGATGCGCGCTGCTGAGGAGTCTCACAATAGGAAGAAACGGTCATCCAATGCTTCCAGGTTTTCTATGGTGATTTAGCTTCAGTCGACTTATGATTTCAACCATGGAATTGTTTCATACTATACTAATTTTTTAATTTATGATGATAAAAGTTTTAGCTTGTATCATTTATAATTGCTGTAACTGCATTATCATTATTAATACCTAAAATTGAAAACCATTCCAATTCTCAAGATGCAAATAAAAACATAAAAACTGATATAGATGATGTGTTTTTTTTTCTACCCTCTGAAATAAGTTAAGAGTTCATGTAATGGCAAATAATTAGTGTTGACCAGCTAAACTCATAAATCACATAATCTAAATTTAGAAAATCAAAATATCAAATGAAGATTTGTTTAACAACCAGAGACTTTGACTTAAATGTGTGATCCACAAGTCAGTGGAGTAACATAACAACATGCAGTCCCATGGTATCCAGTGATCAATAATTGGTTCATACGCGATTTCTTCCCTCAGGATACTGGGGCCCACGTGAACCATTGGTTTGGAATCAGGGTTTCCCAACTCCCCTTGTTGAATCCTCTGTGTCCACCAACCTGGTTAAAGCGCCAGACATTCTCTTTTCGTCCACTCAATTTCGTGAACAACAGTAACGCCGAGAGAAGTCTGGGAGTAGGACTTCTCTTACATTGGCTGTATACACGTGGCCATGTGTGAGCATTTCGAAAGGGAGAGCCGACTCTCCACACGATAGGCCGTACCAGGTCATTTGAAGGTAATATATGTAATGATATAAATTCTATTGTAAATTGAACCATAAAATATTATAAAATTCCCAGTATGAAAATTAGTACAACATATATAAGCCTACATGATTTGTTTTAATTAAATCATAAATAATCTTTTGTTTAAAGTTATCATCAACTTGCGGTGAGACTATAATTTATGAACAACCTGTGAGTAACCCCAGCGTGAACTTCTGAATTACCACCTAATTACTAGGTTTACTTCAGCATTATAGACAAGTGTGAAGAAATAGAATTAAGATTTACAGTTGATGGTTAAGGTCAGCAATTAGATTTAGGGGATTTCATCACGAACTGACATCAGATAAAATGTCGAAACTCTCTCTAACCATATCCATAAATGAATTTCGCACCAAAATCCTTGATCTGTTATTCTCTTCTGGAGATACCTGAACAGGAAATCGAGTTCGAGTTGATCTTAGTGATCTGACAGTGTGACCGTAGTGCCCAAGGAACAACTGTTTGAGACCGTTCACACACGCCCACTTTGTGAGTGAATTCTGTGTTAGTTCTGCATTTGTTAAGACCTTACCTCTCCAGAGACAGATATCTGTGGGATAAGATGAGGTGTACATCTTTACAGTCGACCTTTCCTAACTCCATCCTTTCTCTGTGAGAGTGCAGCATCGCTGTCATGTTGGTTGTCTGTGGGAAACACTATATTGCCCTCACACCATTATACAGACAGTAGTACGACTTCACCCTCACATCTTAGATTTGCTGCTATGAATCTTACTGTTCTCCAACCGATCTGCCTGACATGGTAGGACTTTGAGGAATGATTGTTCCAACCAGTATAGTCCTAATGGTTTATCACGATAAATGAGCCTGACTACGACATTAAGGTAGGCGTAACGGTTGTGCACTGTTATTCTTAATCTGATTGGATCATCTATAAATTATGGTCAAGCCGAATTCCAATCACAGTTATTTTCCAAAGACTGAATTCAATAAATGAGGACAAACATCAGTACCTTTATATATTTCATAAACTATTCTTTAAAATATACCTTAATAGTATTTTAGCTCATAGATTAGCTAAGTAATTAATTTATTAGTAAAGAAATGGAACATGTTATTGCTAATGTCCATCAACTCAACTATTAATAAACAATGTATAATGCTATATGCATCAATTTAAACATCGGTAATAGGGGTGAAATAAAATTCGGACACAAAAAGAAATTTCTAAAAGGTAATTATGTATCAATAAGAACATGGTTACGGTCAATTTTTATTAATCCGTATTATTGTATACACCTAATGAAACTCTGATTGGTTAAATGTGAATCATTTTAAAGGTTACAATTTATTGATCCAAGGTATGGATATATACAAATATATATTTTAACATATTACCTTAGACTACTATATACAGTATTGATAAATGTCTGAAACTACTGGTACATGTTATAAATCATGTTGTATTTCAAAACGATTAGATGGGAAATTAGCCATTGTTACTGGATCAAACACTGGTATCGGATTAGTGACAGCTAGTGAATTAGCTCGTCGTGGTGCTCGAGTCATTATGGCATGTAGAAATATAAGTAAAGCTGAAGATGCCAAAAATAGTTTATTGGAGAAATATGGTGCCAATAATCCAAAAAGTGTAAACATTGATTTAGCATGTAAACAAGTGATTTCATCGTTGAGTCCAATCTACAGTGATCAAGTAAGTTCGTTGCTTCCAAAATCAAACTGAATACGTAGTCTAGCATTAGCTATTGGTTTATGTTATTATTTGTCAGCTGCATGTAATAATTCAAGTGAAAAATCTAATGCTAATAATCAATATGCTTCTGGTTCAAATCCAACCGTAAATAAGGTTTACTTTCACGTCAGTTATTTGTCACTTATTAATCACAAAGATATCGAGTTAGTCCTGTCATAAAAATGTCATTTTCATATCTAAAATCCAAAAAAATCTTGTAATATTGAAGTTGTAAAATCGACATTCAGGATTATTTCAGAAAAAGTTAAATCGGCAGATACAATGTAAGAAGACCTGACCAGTAGAGGTCAACCATATCGGGTGTGAAACAGTTACTCACCCCATTTAACAGATGAGGGTGATTCGAATGAAGTCAGACTTTGATATAACGGATAATTTGGATATATATATATATTTCTCTCAAGTATACTACGTTAATACGATAATCAGACTAGTCACGTTATATCAGATCCAGGACTTACGACCCGGAATAAAGAACCATAGTATAGACTAGATAATACTTTATTCAACAGAATTACAAGCACTCAGTCTCTGTGAGTCCGGAGTAGAAATCAATGTGAAGAAAGGAAATTATATATTTAGTAGTCCGTAGGTTAAATGTTTGTTTATCGACGCCCAGTCACCAATCATATTTTACTTTCACTACCACACATAAGACATGTATAACATTTGATGCCAGCTCAATGATCCAGACATTAGGGATTCGTGCACGATGCAAAAGATGAGGGTTCATGACTTCTCATTTCTGATGAGTCCCTTACTGGGACAAAAAGGTCATTCAATGCTTACATGTTTTCAATAATAGTCTAATTTAGATCAATAAGTTATCCCAATCAACTTATGCACTCTTCATAAACTCTTATTGATGACTACTATTTGAAACTTAATAGTTACTAGAAGTATGATCCAGCATAAAGAGATTATTATTATTATCTTTACTGCATATTAAAAAATATTAAAAATGTTTTATTATCATTGATTATTTCTAATACTCCTCACCTATTGCAATGTATGCTTTTGTTAGAGTATATTTAGTTCCTCTTACAAAATCCAGCCTAATTACCATAGCAACCAATCCAATATTTTATTGTAAATCATTACTACTATTAGAAATATGAGATATTTTCAAGAAAATATCGACTAAAATTAGAATGTAACAAGATTCCAGACAAATATTCTCTTATTTCATTCTAAGATTCAGATCATTATCTTACATTGAATCATCTATTAATTTGTCCGTATAATATAAAATTTTCATTGCCAACACATCATTAATTTTCAAGGTAGATATCAGTTATAGATCAGAAGGGGTTTTGTGGAGATTTCAGTATTTTCATCGTTGAAATTATGAGTCAATTGAAGCTAGACTACCATGGAAAACCTGGAATTACTGAATAGCCGTCTCGTCCTACAATGGGACTACTCAGTAGTGCGCATCCACGATCCCTCCTCTCTAGATACCAACCCAGGACCTACCAGTTTCGCGCCAGAGCACTTAACTAATAGACCACTGAGCCAGCATCCAATAGTGTTAATGTCTAACTTCAACCAATCCACGAAGTTGAGCAACCGTTCACCAATCGTCTTCAGTGAGTTGATATATCTACAACAGACGTGGTTGAACTCCACTGACCACTGCTTCCCACTAGAACTCCAGTGGTGATCCAGCTTCAATTGACTCATGATTTCAACTATGAAAATATATTAGTTAGTTAAAATATGATATCAAGCTTAATGATTGCATTATAAAGTTTTCGAACATGATACAAAATTATCAATGTTATTCTTTTATCAACTAATTAAAGATTAATGTCAGAAGAGGGTTTTGTGGATATTATAGTAATTCTAATAGTTGAGATCATGAATCTCGCGAGGTGAGATCATGGATGCGCACTGCTCAGGAGTGAGTCGCACAATAGGACGAAACACCCTTCCAGAGCATCAAGGTTTTCCATGGTGGTCTAGCTTCGATTGATTCATGATCTCAACTATTCAAATTATTAATGATTGTATTACATCTACGTTTTGTCAGATGAAAAGGAGAGATATTATTAACCTGTAATGTAATGAAATCAATCCCTTTTTAATTCAATTGACAATAATCTGGATTAGATGAAATACGAGTTGCGGATTTTACTGCTAGTTAAATTCAGTCTACTTTATAGTATCTTATTGTTTTAATACACTACATATATACACACACAATATTCAATGTTTCAATTAAAGATATGATCAAGAGATAGATCCTTCCAAAAAGTTCAACCGGTCAAATTGCATGACGTAGATCACTAACTCGACCTAAATCAATAGATTTTTTATATGTCAAACTCATTACAATAAACAACTTTCTAATGTAAAAGAATCAATAAGGTGGTTAGTTCCAACAAGTGGAATTTAATAGAACATTGAAAGTGCAAGATTCAAGGAGAATAAAAAGACAAAGAAATCAAAGAAATATTTTCCTTGAATTGATCCTATTTAATTAATAAATTATATCTAACTCCAACCAATCCACGAAGTTGAGCAACCGTTCACCAATTGTTTTCAATGAGTTCCTATCTCACTACAAACGTGGTATGAACTCCACTTGTCACTGCTTCTCACTAAAACTCTTGGATTTACCTCGAGATGTAAACTTTGTCTAATAAGTAGTTTACATTATGGAAAACCATTGAACATTGATCAGTTGTTTTGTTGAATTACTAACTATCAAACTGAAAACGTGCACATCTAACGGTGAACATGAAATTTTCAAACAACTAGCTTATTATCTAATAGTTTACATTTCTCGATTTAGTCAATTGTATATATAGTGAACGACTATTATTCACTGATATTGATGATACATAGTTTACAAATGACATAATAGTTGAACTTCACTGGTCCATGAATTCTTTTCATAACTTCAATAATTTCATGCCAGCTCAATGGACCAGACATTAGGGGTTCGGGCACGATGCAAAAGATCCTAGCTCCACAAAACCCTTTATTCTGACTTCAATAATTCTTTTTAAAATTAGACACTTTTGAACGTATATGATTATTATAAGTGACTTAAACTATAAATTGAACCGATTTTTACAAACCCTTCCAAAACCAACAACATTAAACAAAAAAAAAAAGAAATGGCTTGTAAACTCCTGTTCATTGAACAAAATAATGTTCCATGAAAAGTGTCATATCCGGACGAGAATAAATGAATGGTAACCGCTAGTAACTATTTACGGACTAATATCATAAGAATGTTCTTATTTTCTGACTATATATATAATATATTTGAACACATAAATATTGGTACAAAGGGGAACCAGATACATATGCGCCACACAAATCTCATTTGATTTGTGTGAGGGCTGTTATACTTCCCGGGTGCCCAAACCGAAACAGATGGTTTTCTTAGGAGGCCACACCCAGAGCCTTTGACCTAAAGATCTGATTCACAAGGCAGTGGAGCAACGTAAGAGAATGCACTCTCATGGTAGCCAGTGACCAACGATTGATTCATACGCCATTTGTTCGCTCAGGATACTGGAGCCCATGCGCACCATTGGTTTGGAATCAGGGTTATCCAAATACCCTTGTTGGATCCTCTGTGTCCACCAACCTGGTTAAAGCGCCAGATATTCACTTTTCGTCCACTCAAGTCCGTGAACAACAGTGATTCCACATAAAGGCAGTGAGTAGGATTTCCCTGACAGAGGCTATATACGCGTGTCCATGTGAGAGCATTTCGAAAGGGAGAGCGAACTCTCCTCACTCTCGGCCGTACCAGGGCATTTGGGGGTATATATACATATTTTTTTTATTATAAGCTTTTATTTGACCTATAGACTAGTATCAAACGATTTATTATTCTTGAGATATTTCCAATTTATTAATGACAGTTTCTCACAATCACAGCCACTTTTCGGTTTCACCTTGTACAAATGTTATTTTTAATTTTATGGAGTGGTTTGATCTGGTTATGCTTGTATATAAACCCAGTATGTTTGAAATAAATTATTCGTATCGAGTCTGAGATTTGTGTTCTGGACTTAACAGACAGAGCTTGGCGGATAAAAGACCAACCGGGACTCTTGACTGCCCGTACTGTCATACTGTCATTAGTTTGGTAGTATACGTCAGTGTATCTAAATTGACAATCATATTTCGCAATAATCGTATAGCTAAGGCCATAATAGTAAGATTATTTGAATTTGTTTAGATTATATTCATTACTTAAACAATTTTATTGTACTGAAACTTTTTTGTTTTAGTTTACATTATATAGTACCTATTATCATTGCATTCAATTTTGAATTCACCTTTCAGTTAATCATTGAACAACTTGATTTAGCTTCTCTACAATCAATCAGAGAATTTGCCAGACGTATAATAGTCACATATCCAGAACTTCATTTTCTCATTAACAATGCTGGTCTTGCAGTGAGTAAATATGAGAAAACTGTTGATGGCTTTGAAATGACAATGGGTGTTAATCATTTTGGAACATTTCTACTAACGGAATTATTATTACCTTTGATGAAACGTTCAACTCCATCTAGAATCATTAATCTCTCATCAATGGCACATTATAAAGGTCATTTAATTAAACCAGATTTACAGTTAAAAGAGAATGAATATAGTCAATTGAAAGCATATTGTGATTCAAAGTTAGCCAATGCAATGCATGCTGCTGAATTAGGTGATAGACTTAAGGACAGTGGAATCACTGTTGTCAGTGTCCATCCTGGTGCTGTAAAGACTGATCTAGATCGAGATATAAACAGTGTCGTGATGGTAAGTCATCCTCTACTACTGTCATTTATACCCCTTGCTTTTTCAACAGTAACCTAGTTTCTTTAGCAGATATAATAAAAAAACATGAAAATAAATATCAAACCAATTACTCTAAAGATAATTCTAAACAGTAATCTAAAACAGTATAGAATAGCTTAGTAAAAGTACATCTCTTACAGAATTAGAAGTAATTTTAAAATTTAGGATCATGTTGTGAACTGTTTAGTGAACCTATCGATCTGTTTAATAAAAAATACCCACCATTTCACTAAATAACATCAACATTGCCACAATCAAATAAACACTTATAAATCATAAGCAAAGGTGGATAGTGGCTAGCAGTAGAATCCAGGACGCACGTTTCGTCCTATCTGGGACTCGTCAGGTGGAGTTTTTGTTCACTGTGGGACTCGAACTCAGTACCGTACGCTTCAAACGCCATGGCGTTATCCACTCAGCTACTGAGTCCTGATAGCCACTTGCTTGTGCAATGGAGTGAAGTTTAAATTCACTTAGTATTGTTTGTTTGAATCTTCCCATTAATATTTTGGACTGCAATTGATCCACTGCTTGCAACTATCCATCTTTACTTATATTGCTTGTGAATTAAGGCTATATCGAGGCAATAAGCACAGTATGCCCATATGCCAATAAGAGACTGATCAATTACAGTCCTAAATGTCAAAGGTGAGATTCAAACAAACAATACCAAGTGAATTTATTTGTAGATTGAATATAAAATCGACGATTATCTAATGGTTAGGTTATAACGATCCCAAAGGATAATATACTTGAGTACTTATCTAAACGACACAGCACTGAATTCCAATCTCTCAGATGATTAAATAATCGGGTTATCGTCTAGTTACTGATGTTTTGTTTGTTTTCACATATTTTTTTACAACAGTCTACAATAGTTGTGTTTGATTTGATCATAAACCAGGTAAGATATGAATGTCAGGTCATTTGTCTAATAAATAAAGTTTTCAATGTAGATTTTAGCGTTGAGTTCAACGACATTAGTGAACATAAAATCAATAACTAGACGAATACACATACAAGATAATAGAAACCTTTAATCCATAAAACACTTAGTTTATTCTGAACATTTATTGAATTAAATTTTATCTGTGGAGTGCTGAGGAATCCCACTATAGGACGAAGTGGCCCCCTAGTGCTTCCAGGTTTTCCATGGTGGTCTAACTTTAATTGATTCATGATCTCAACTGTTAAATTTCATCTGTTAGCCATGTTTGGATGTTTACATTAGGTTTTGTTAAATAGAATGAAGTTGGAATAATAACACATTAGAATATGTTGTTATGCAAGTAACCTGAAAGTGAATAAAGCAAAACTCACCAAAACTTCACATAAATACATCTGTAATCTTTAAAAGATAACTATACTATTCACGCTGAAAATCCCAATGACCAAAAATGAATAGTCAGGTGTTTTGTGGAGATTCAGTATTTTCATAGTTGAAAGCATTAGTCAATTGAAGGTAGATTACTAAGGAAAACCTGGAAGCACTGGACGGGCGTTTCGTCCTATTGTGGGACTCCTGAGCAGTGCGCATCCACGACATAAACACCATCGGATGATGGCGTAGTGGTCTGTCGGTTAAGTGCTCTGACGCGAGACTGGTAGATCCTGGGTTCGAATCTCGTGAGGCGGGGTCGTGGCTGCGCACTGCTCAGGAGTCCCACTATAGGATGAAACGGCCGTCCAGTGCTTCCAGGTTTTCCATGGTAGTCTAGCTTCAATTGACTCATGCTTTCAACTATGAAAATACTTAATCTCCACAAAACACCCCTTCTGATTATTATTATTATTGTCTGTATGAACATGTATTCTTGATCATATGTGACAGCCTAAGCATGTATCGCTCTCTCTAGTTTAAGTATTGATTACTTAAATCGCCCGGTGAATGAATATATATATATATATATATATATTCTATTACTGTTTAATGTGTCAATGAGTTAACTGTAGAACACTCCACATAATAAACAAAAATATATGGTGGTTGATGGTTGAATCCAGGACGCACGTTTCTTCCTACTCAAACAACCAATACAAATGAATTCTACATAATAATTTTAATAAAGTTAGAAATATATATATATTTCATATTTCTAAAGATCAAAAAGCTATGAGGAAACTTTTGTCATAAGTGTGTTTTTTATACCTGCGGTTATGTAACAGTAACAAGTGGTTAGTAAAATGATTGAAGTGATCGGATAAACAGTGTATACTTAGAATCAAGCTACCAACTTGGTAAATTTCAGAAGTTATACCCAATCGATTAAGCTACTGGATGTATACTAGGGAATTCAAGCTGTTGTTCGACCTAGACAGTATGATTATACGTTACTCAGAAGATGGTAAAAAGAATACAAAACAGTCAGTAAGGTTACGTTTTTGTGCATTGTATCAACACTGAAAAATACATAAAATTCAAGGTCAACTCTCACGTTTGACAATCGATTTTCTCGAGACGAACTGTAAAAAGTAATGTCTACAATCCATTTTTATTACTTACTTACGCCTGTTACCCCTCGTCGAGGAGCATAGGCCGCTCGCCACCGTTCTCCATCCAACCCTGTCCTGGACAATCCTTTCCAATTCTTTGCAGTTGTTATTCATTCTTTTCATATCTGCTTCTATTTCCCGACGTAATGTGTTCTTTGTTCTTTCTCTTTTCCGCTTCCCTCCCGGATTCCAAGTTAGGGTTTGCCCTGTAATTCACATTGGTGATTTCCTAGATGTATGTCCTATCCACTTCCAACGTCTTTTCCTAATTTCATCTTCAGCTGCAACCTGCTGGTTTTTCCTCTCCCATAAAACGCTGTTTCTGATAGTATCCGGCCAGTGAATGTTGAGTGTTTTGCGTAAACAACTGTTTATAAATACTTGTATTTTATTGACGATTGATGTAGTAGTTCTCCACGTTTCAGTTCCATACAGTAGGACTGTCTTGAAATCAATTTTTATACCCCTGTTTAAATGGTTTTCTTTGGTTACTATACCCTACAATTTAATATTTGTAATATTGGCGATATTTCATTATCGAAAAGAAATTTATCTCAATAAATAAGATACTTTAAAGATGTTGATTATTATCGCACTAGCACTTTCAGTTTTTATTACGTTTATCGGGTAAAATTTCATAAATGAACATATTTTACGTGACTATAATTTATGAACAACCTGTGAGTAACCCCAGCGTGAACTTCTGAATTACCACCTAATTACTAGGTTTACTTCAGCATTATAGACAAGTGTGAAGAAATAGAATTAAGATTTACAGTTGATGGTTAAGGTCAGCAATTAGATTTAGGGGATTTCATCACGAACTGACATCAGATAAAATGTCGAAACTCTCTCTAACCATATCCATAAATGAATTTCGCACCAAAATCCTTGATCTGTTATTCTCTTCTGGAGATACCTGAACAGGAAATCGAGTTCGAGTTGATCTTAGTGATCTGACAGTGTGACCGTAGTGCCCAAGGAACAACTGTTTGAGACCGTTCACACACGCCCACTTTGTGAGTGAATTCTGTGTTAGTTCTGCATTTGTTAAGACCTTACCTCTCCAGAGACAGATATCTGTGGGATAAGATGAGGTGTACATCTTTACAGTCGACCTTTCCTAACTCCATCCTTTCTCTGTGAGAGTGCAGCATCGCTGTCATGTTGGTTGTCTGTGGGAAACACTATATTGCCCTCACACCATTATACAGACAGTAGTACGACTTCACCCTCACACCTTAGATTTGCTGCTATGAATCTTACTGTTCTCCAACCGATCTGCCTGACATGGTAGGACCTTGAGGAATGATTGTTCCAACCAGTATAGTCCTAATGGTTTATCACGATAAATGAGCCTGACTACGACATTAAGGTAGGCGTAACGGTTGTGCACTGTTATTCTTAATCTGATTGGATCATCCATAAATTATAGTCTCGCCACACATTTTAATTCTTCAACTGACTATTGAACAAAACATACATAAACTGATATAGCCTTAAAATACCAGGCACATTTTAACAAACAAATCGATTAGATCCAGCTGATGTCTATATTTTTAATACTGATTTTTAACGTTTTTGAATGAATAATGGATGTAACTCATTTCGATAATTATCTACTGATTAGTTCTCTTTTATATCAATTCTTCTGAATCCAAAATTATTCACGCTGTCGATGCCTTAATGATCGAAAACACCAAGGAAAAAATAGAAGGGTGTGACTACAGTCAGTAAAAAACCAGTATCTATAACTCTCAACTTCAAAGGTGATGTTGTCACAAGCCCAATCAGCGGGAGACTTAACAATAAATTAGCCAAAACATACACTTCTGACAAATCATTAATACTGTATAAAACACATGTTCAATAACACAATTAAAGGTCGGCAAGCACGCCTTTCATGTTATTGCCAACTGTGTTTATAAATTTACGAGTATCTGCCATAGCAGACGGATCGAACGGACAGAAAAGAGGTCATATCGTAGATATTTTGAACATGTTCCAAAAAGCTTTCGAATAAAAGAGAACTACTCTAAACAACGTAATTAATGAACATATTTTGGATATAGGACATCAAGTCAGTCTTCTAATTTCCTGAAGCCGTTACTATCAGGCGTCAGAAACCTGATTTATGTGTACTAAAGGAGATAGTTGTCAATCTGTCTTTAACTAGGAGACAAATATTCCTTTATTACATCACAAAAACTTTGTTCAACTTTTTACTTCAATTAATTACATAATGACATCTTTTTGTATCAACTGTCTTCTAGATTAATAATTTTATTTTAATGAATTGAGCTTAACACATTTTATTCTTCTTTATCAACGTTTACTCGTTATGTAACCACTTGGGTCTAACCCCCTGGACCTATCCTACAACATTATTCTAGAATATTCTATTGTGTAAGGTATATGTTGATAATATTTTGTTTCATCTATTAAATTCATTCACACCGACATCATACTATACTGATATGTTTTCAAACTAACTTTAAACTGAACTCTTTCAAGTAATTAAATTTATACCAATTTTGTAATGATGGTTTTCAAATATCACAGATTGCAAGCAGCTGACAGGAACTAGAAGAAATAAAATGAATTCATATTATTCTTCTCAAATCTTTATTCTTGCTCTCTTCAAAGTGATAAACGGAACTATGAGATTGTAGTAATTTGTTATTTGGATATTTCGATTACATAAATATAAAATCAGAAGGGGTTTGTGTGGATATTATAGTAATTTTAATAGTTTAAATCATGAATCAATTGAAGCTAGACCACCATGGAAAACCTGGAAGCACTGGACAGGCATTTCGTCCCATAGTGGGATTCCACAGAAGTACGCATCCAAGATGCCGCCTCCAGGTTTTCCATGGTGGTCCCAGTCAATCATTAGGATATAACAAAAACTATATTTATTATTAACTTCATACCCAATGCTCAATTAATCCAAGATTACCAAATCCAAACTTGGCATTCATACATACAAATTCGTTTAAATCTTGAGACTAATCATGTAAACATTTTTATTATAATTCTTTTTTCTTAGAAATGTTTCGTCAAATTAGTAAAGCCATTGTTTCTTGGTCCATGGAAAGGAGCGCAAACTACATTGTATACAGTGTTGTCAGATAACTTAATCTCTGGTGGTTACTATTCAAATTGTGCATTGAAAGAACCGTCAACTATTGTCAAGAATAAAGATGAAAGAAAATGGTTTTGGAGTAAAACATGTGAACTCTTAAGAATCGAAAATACAACATAGACTATTGTTACTTTTAACAAAATCAAGAGTTTATTTCATATTTCCAAATCAATCATTTTGTTTGTATTTTGGTTTGAAAGTTGAAAATGTATAAAACAACTTCGACTATTTGTGTTGGAAAGATTAGGGTTGGTTATGCATGAAACAATTATACACATACATGAATACATGATATCCTTACCAATCTATCAATATCACTAGTTTAAATAAATATAGGTGGGACACTTACTAGTCTGCATTGAATGAATCAAGAAGTATTGGTTTGTCTGTAGTTTACACTCTCTCTCTCTCTCTCTCATTATACTTGATCAATCAAACAGACAGGAAATGCATTTTGTAATGAATGGGAATGAAAACAAAATGTGAATGCATCACAGCTTGGTAGATGTACGACCATTAACAACTAGTCTTTCATTCAAGATGAATATGTTATGTCCATTTATTCACTCACTCATAACATGGGTGATGTAATATAGATGACCACTACCATTCGGTAATTAATCAATGTAGTTTAACTCTTTGACTGATCATAAATTCGAATTAATGGAAATGTTAAATCACTGTTAGATGAAATTAAGTCACACCATATTCTTGTTTATTTGAATCGTTCACATCAAATCTGAATGTCTTATAGTCTGAAGCTAGTCGGGACATGGAATTTCGGTTTCTCATCCCGTACCAAACATCAGTCTACTCAAAACTACACGTAACTCTCACTGACAACAACCAACTAGCACGAAATTATGTTCAACGTTATCCTAACAACCACTCACAATCACATAGGAGTTATCACAGTTCAACGAACAAAGATATAGATTTTGTTGATTCGGCATCGTATGAGTAACGGCTTTTAATGATTTAGACTGCGAATTCACACTGGAGTGTGGTATGGTTGAAAGCTTCATATAAGCGTGAGGTAGATGGATTTACTCCTAACAATCTGACACTGTTCCTTGAATAATCTATACTGCTTACACTCAAATAAATAACGAACCAGTAGGAGAGAGCTTGTTGCTTGACTGACTGATGAATTCTTGTAGTGTGACTCGTTTCAACATTGACACATGAGGCGACTCTCTCCAACCAGATATTTGCATTAATTTTCGTGAGAATGCCCCTCTTGTAAAATAACTACAGATAATATAGAATTATCTCTATTCAACATTTCTTACTGTACCCACTCCAAATGACACTGATGTAATATATTATGAATGGAGGTAAATCCCAAATATTTCACAACCCTACATTTACCGTTGAGAAAATGAAAACTAATGGGAATTCGCTAAGTGATTTTCTCAATAGTCACAATGAGTAACAGCAGTATGTAACTCACTGTCAGATAGTATAAACACAAGTGAATTCTACTCTTGCTAACAGGTGAATGTTGTACAACTGTAATCGTAAATAAACGTCACTATATCAATAATCGTCAAGATTTATTACAGTTCGAGGCCCACGATCTCACTCCATTATGAACGAAAAATGCATAAGACATGAAACTAAATTCGGTTTGATGGCGTACAATCTACTTCGACCGACCCCATTTTGGTCACAGTCGTAATAATAAACCGAATACGAATTAATTTGAACAAATCAATTTCAGACATTCTTTTATGCACATAAACGATGAGAGATGCGAATTGAAGAAGGTGAACGTGTCAACTCACTAAACAATAGGTGACTCAGTCTTTATAATCATGGATCAGATCTAAGCTACTTAACAGACAAACACACACACCATCTATACACATGTTTTAAGCATGATCAGTGTTATACGTGAGTAATTGGCATGAATAAATATATACAGGTGATAGGACAAATAGAAAGATTAAACTAATCTGTCTGTTCAAAGTTTGGAACAAATCACGTAAGCTTATGATAACAGAGATTTGATATTGAAATCTCAACCACTAACTAATCAATCAATGTAAATTCATTTCATGAATAGGCTCCTTGTCAGATCGACAAATTGTTTTCATCACAAATAAGACTAAATTGTAAAGACGTTCATAAAATCCATAATTGATCTCCAGTGTATTATTTGTCGACGATCATAATGTTTATTTAGTCAATTCATGGAGATTCTAAGGAAACAGTCACTTTGTCAGTTATATTTCTTATAATCAATTTAGAAAGAACAAAGTAGTTGCTGGTATATATCTTCAATAACTCGATTATTGCTTAGTATGTTGAATATTGTTGAACATCGGAAGCTCTCATTTATCTTTCTGTTTCAAGGTTTTTCTCATTAGTGAAAGGGTTCTGATAGCAGAAGTACAGAAGTACATGTATAAATCTCGCAAGTGATAAACAACCTTTTATATGCAGATATGATCAAAACTCAAAGTTCAATCTCTTATGATATGTGTATCCAATTATTTTTGTTACGACAAAATAAAGACCACATTTTCCCCTATTTATCATACTTTATAAGTAACCACATTTATATTCAATATGTTTTGTTTCTCTGTTTCATTGGTAAACAAACGGATATAATTGTTTGATTATATTCTCACACACTAATGTGATTGTTGAAAAATAAACACTATCTCCACTGTCTGTTCTTCTGCTTTATTGGCCACGTCCTTTGATTGAAGATTATATTTATTATTATAACATCCTTTTAGACCTTCCCACACTATGTTGGAGTTTTGACCGGGATTATTATTAAATAATACTATCGGGTTCATTCTTTCTCATTACGCTGTTGGTGCCACCACGTGCAGAGGAACCTTTGTTAATCAAATGAAATCATTTGTGATTGTTATCTCACAGAACAGCTTACAAATAACATTCATTTCATAACAACTATTATCATTTTGTTGTTTATATACCATTTATATTGTAACTATAATTTGTTACCTTTAGTGTTACTCATAAACAGACATTTAGAATTGTAGCTTAATTCTTTTTGATATAACATTGGTAACTTTGCTTATTGTTATATCTTGAATGAGCTCTTTTACTGGGATCCACCACAAGTCTCACAACTGATAAGATGCAGATTCTTCAATCGTGTTTGCTTTTTTTTCTAGGCTGTTGCTCGGATAAGAAAACATCATCTGTTTATAATCATATCACTAAATTATGTATATAACGTTTGAAAGTAATCGATATTTCAATTAGATTGTTATGTGTTTTTATAGTCTATCTTGATAAATCAGCTGATATTTCTTGAATTTCACCAGTCAGTTATCGATTAACCCAACTTAACATTCCTATGCTTTTTCCTTTGTGAGGCCTCTTGATGCAGAGGCTGCTGTTACACTAGTTGTCTTCATCTGCATTTTTTGTGTATGAGATAGGAGGGCTATGTCATCTGCAAAGTTCAAATCAAGTTTATTCTGAGATGACCATTGTATTCCGTGTTTCCCCTCAGATGTCGAATTCTTCATAATCCAGTCAACCAACAGATGAAAGAGGAAGGGGAGAGTAAACAACCTTGTCTGACTCCGGTTCTTACTGGAAATGCATCTGTCAGCTGTCCTCCATGCACGACTTTGCACTGTAGTCCATCGTATGGGTTCTGGATAATGTTGACAATCTTTTCAGGAACTCCATAGTGTCGAAGAAGTTTCCATAATGTTCTCCTGTCCACACTGTCAAACACCTTCTCATAGTCGACGAAGTTGATGTATAGTGACGGGTTCCACTCAACAGATTGTTCCACGATGACCCCTAGTATCGCAATTCGGTCTGTGCACGACCTATCCTTACGGAATCCAGCCTGTTGATCACGAAGATGGGCGCCTATTGAATCTTTCATACTTTTCAACAACACTCTGTTGAAAGCGTTTCTCGGTACCGATAGCACATACTTATGAATTATCATTTTGAAAAATAAGTACATATTTGGGATGGCACAGCATTAAAAATGGATTCGTCGAAAAGATATCGCTTTGTTGAACCAATTATTCTTATTTTATACCTGATACTGACTGACAGCGGTATCTCGGTTATTCCAATTTGACTAAACTTTTAACATTCTGAAAATTTTATATACACCCTTAGCAAAACTATCCGTTTTACATCTACAAACAATAGATCATACTTCAAACCATTCAGATGTCAATTAATTATTCACAAGACTAAGCCAACTAACTCAAAGAACAGACAACTACCAAAATACTGTCATTAAATCATCAACAAGATGTACATGAATAGATCATTGACGAAATTTTCATGTGATTCAGTTTTCCAATAGTTGAGATCATGAGTTCATTGAAACTAGACCACCATGGAAAATCTGGAAGCAGTGGATGGCCGTTTCGTCCTATTGTGAGAATCACTCCTCAGCAGTGCACATCCATAATCTCGCCTTACAAGATTCGAACCCAAGACCGATCAGTTTCGCGCTCGGGCGCTTAACCTCTAGACCACTGAGCTGACACCCAACGGTGTTAATGTCTAACTTCGAGTCTCGGGAGGCGGGATCGTAGATGTGCTGAGGAGTAAGTCCCACAATAGAACGAAACGGTCGTCCAGTGCTTCCAGGTTTTCCATGGTTGTCTAGCTTCAATTGACTCTCCATTTCAACTGTAAAAATACATGTAAGTTGTTGAAAACCGGTTGGTTAAATACACGTTTCTCAAATTGTGACACTATTCTGATTTGAACTGAGAATCCATGTCAACACACAACTGCGTCTACAAATTAGATTGTGTCGATTGTGATACCTTCTATATTGGAGAGTCATCTCGCGAAATCTTGACTCGAGTCAAAGAACATATTAGGTACACAAAGAAATTACCCAATAGTCACGTAGAACTGAATAGACTTCAAATTAACTCGACAATAGCAGCTCACGCCATTTTCAGCGACCACCAAAACGATCTCAAAAACATAAAAATATTACAAAAAGCTTTTTCCAATTACAAAGAAAGGAGAGTAGCTGAAGCGTTCCATATAATGCTCAATTACACTGCCCTCAACAGAAAAGGCCTTACTATACATCCTACTTGGACTATCTACCTAGCCAACGATAGTGTAATACGAAGACG